ACACACACACACACAGACAGACACACAGACAGACAGACACACAGACAGACACACACACACACACACACACAATTATGGATTTAAGTGCATTGACATTATCAGATGAGAACAAAACATGAATGGAATTGATCTGAATAGTGACTCTATTGTCTTTTGCTCTACAGATGAAATTAAACTGATGAATAACTAACACTGCTATTTTCCTGTACTGTGTGAAGCGCGTGAGCTGAAACACACCTGCGCTGCGATCCCGATCCGGCCGCCGTTCAGCATCCCGATGGCGTATTTATAACCGTGACCCACTTTCCCTAAAATGTTCTTCTCGTGAACCTGCATCAGACAAACATTTCATTCATCTTCTCAGATTTAATAGCATCACAAAACCATCCTGCAACTTGCAGAACTTCCCTTGAACTGAAAGAAATGACTCGTTCCCTTAGAGAAACTGTAGAAACTACATTACAGTAAAATGTGGAGGAATGAATCGGATCGGAGCGCAGGTTCACCTTCATGCTGTCGAAGGTCAGAGGACATGTGGATGAGGCTCTCAGACCCAACTTATTCTCCTTCCTGCCGATGTGAAGCCCGTCTGTGTCTCTGTCCACGATGAAGCAGGTGATGCCCCTGTAACCCTGCCACACACACACACATCACATGACATCCATCCATCTCCATATATGAGCTGCAGTGAATGTGTGTTTGTGAGTGTGTGAGTGAGTGTGTGTGTTTGTTTGCGTGCGTGTGTTTGTTTGCGTGTGTGTGTGTGTGAGTCTGTGTGTGTGTCAGGTGATGCCCCTGTAACCCTGCCACACACACACACATCACATGACATCCATCCATCTCCATATATGAGCTGCAGTGAATGTGTGTTTGTGAGTGTGTGAGTGTTTGTTTGCGTGTGTGTGTGTGTGAGTCTGTGTGTGTGTCTGTCTGTCTGTGTGTGTGTGTGTCTGTCTGTCTGTGTGTTTGTTTGCGTGTGTGTGTGTGTTTGTTTGTGTGCGTTTGTTTGTGTGTGTGTGTGTGTGTGCGTTTGTTTGTGTGTGTGTGTGCGTTTGTT